GTCAATCATTACCCCCAGGGCCTTTTCAGACATGGTGCAAGTCAAGCTGTCACCACCGAGCCTGTATGGATGTTGAGGGTTGTTTGCCCCCAGATGGAGCACCTTACACTTGGAAGCGTTAAACTTCATCTGGTTCTAGTTTGCCCAACTCTCGAGCCTATCCAGGTCTGCCCATACCTGCAACCTATCTTCTGACGTGACCACACTGCCCCATAACTTGGTGTCATCTGCAAACTTGGCCAGCAAGCTTTTCACTCCCACATCCAAATCATTGATAAAGATGCTGAAAAGCACCGGACCAAGCACGGACCCCCGAGGGACACTACTGGCCACTTTGTGCCAGGATGACATAGATCCGTTCATGAGAACTCTCTGGGTCGTACCCTGTAGCACAGGGGTGGGCAAAATATGGCCCATGGGTCAGATGTGGCCTGTGAGGCCATTCTATCCAGCCTGAGGGGCCCCTAAAAAATTTAGAAAATTAATATTTATCTGTCTTTGGTTCCTGTCAAAAATGACAGGAACCAGGGGCATCAGGACCCAGGGGAAGCCTGGCCGGCTCCCACAACAGCAGGGCCTGCCTGGCCCCCCACCCAACCTGAAGTCCCAGCAGGGGCTTCTGGCCTGGGACCATGTGGCTGCACTGGTGCCGGAAGCTCAGGTAAGTGGGGTGGGGAAGGCAGGGGAGGACCCTGGGCAGGGAAGGAGTGCAGAGAAAAGTGGCCTGGGGAAAAGCTGAGCAGAGAAAAGTGGCCCCTCCCCTGCCCTGTGGCCAGCCCTCCCTGCTGCAGCTGCTTGCAGCCTGGGTTGCCAGGCACAGGGCAGGTGAGGGGCCACTTCCCCCCCTCCCCCTGTGCTCAGCACCAGCTTGTAACCCGCCCCCACTACCAGCCTGGGTCCTGCACCAGCTCCAGGCTCGCCTATTGGGGCTGCGCACGCCAGCAGCAGCTGCGAACCCTCCGCTTGCCATTCCAGGCAGTGTTTGCTGCTGCTGCCCTCCCGGAGCTCACACACTGGGCAGCCCAGAGGCAGCAGTGGCAAACACTGCCCGGTGCGGCAAGCAAGGGGGCTGCAGCTGCTGCCACCATGTGCAGCCCCGACAGGCGAGCCCAGAGCCCGTGGGAGTCGGTTAAAAGCTGGTCACGGGGGGAGGGGGGAGAGGGGCCCCTCCCCTGCCCTGTGCCTGGCAACCCAGGCTGCAAGCAGCTGCAGCAGGGAGCGCTGGCCACGGGGCAGGGGAGGGGCTACTTTTTCCCAGGCCCAGCACCAGCTTGTTCCCTGCCGGCAATCAGGGGGTCAGGGCTGCATGCTGCCCCCTGCCTGTACTGCAGGGATGGGGTGCACTGGGAGTGAGCGGGAGCACAGAGCCCGCATGGGTGTCCAAGGGCCAGCGCCGGCGGGGCTCAGAGCAGGGCAGCAGGAGTACAGCCAGGTAAGCCAGGCTCTTTGAAGCCAGGTGAGCTCCCCGCCTCCCTGCTGGGTCAGCCCCGCATAGATCCCTGTCAGCCTGCGCCCTGCTCTGGGCCCCACCGGTGCTGGCCCTGAGACATTGGTTCCAAGACATTGGGACACTGGTCCCAAGATGGTGACCAGGGGGCGGGGCACCTGTGAAGGGGCAGGGCACCTGTCAGGGGGCGGGGCTACCCATGCAGCCCTCAACAGCTTGCCACAACTGGGTAAGTGGCCCTCCATCCGAAATAACTGCCCACTCCTGCTGTTAATTTCCCACCCACTGAACTGTCAAGCAGCCGAGCCCACAATCTTAGTTTTCCCACAAGGATATCGTGGGATACTCGATCAAAAGCCCTTTGGAAGTCTAGGTATATAACATCTACCTCATCTCCCATGTCCAGGTGGCGAGAGACCTGTTCATAGAAGGAGATGATATTGGTAAGACAAGACCTACCTGCAACAAAGCCATGCTGGCTGTCATTCAGAACCTTACCTTCTGCAAGCTTACTGCATATAGATTCTTTAATGAGCTTTCCCAGAATTTTCCCTGGGATGGAAGTTAGGCTGACTGGCCTATAGTTGCCTGGGTCCTCCCTCTTCCCCTTCTTGAAGATGGGCATAATGTTGGTCCTCTTCCAATCCTCAGGGATTTCCCCTGTGCACCACAAATTCTGAAAGAGCTTTGCCAGGGGTTCCGCAATGACCTCACCCAGCTCTCTCAGCACGCTCAGATGAAGTCCATCCAGTCCTGCTGACTTATAAATATCTAGCTTTTCTAGTTGGTCTTGCACCCACTTAGCATTCACAGGTGATGGGGGTGCGGTCTTGCCCGGGCTCTGGGCAGCTGCAGCAGCAGGCTGGCTACAAACAGCTGTGCTAGGGTCATTACCTCCATGCCGGGAGCAGGGGAGAGACCAGGGTTATGCTGCCTCAGGCCCCACCCCCACCGCCCGCTCCAAGGTGCACCTGCTTGTGCGGGTGCAGTGCTGGTGCAAGCCCTGCTCGAAGCAACCCGGGCTCCAGCAGCTACCCAGAGCTGAGGTAACTGCCAGCAGCCATACAGCCCAGGCTGGGGGGCAGGGGCTTTGGGTGGGGGGCAAGGGGCAATAGGGCTAGAGGGAAGGGGCAGCAGGGCTGGGGGCCAGGGGCTTTGGGTGGGGGGCAAGGGGCACAAGCAGGGCATCCTGCCATGTACCCTTTGCCCTCATTTTGTTTTTCTGCCATGCCGGCACTCCGGCACCTTCCAAGGTAGGCATTATGGTGTTTTTCGGCACTCCAGCCAAAAACCGTTGCCTACCCCTGAACTATGGTATATTAAAATAAATAAGATCTTGTGCCCATTAAGTTTTCATTTCAACTGATCCAGAAAAATATCTTTACTTTTAATTGGTTTACTTCCATTTACAAGGCAGAACACTGGTCTTTTGCTGCTATCCAAATTTTTACTCCAAGCTCTTATCCCACATGCAATTTGTGTGTGATCGATTTACATGCAGTTTGTCTGGGCCAATTTTTTTCCAGAGAAAGCTCTAAATTTGTGCATTCTCTTGTTTGTGCACGTATGTGCATTTATGCGTACAAAATGGGTAGAGGCTGTTCTACCTACACACACAGCAATGCCTGTTTTAGGGCTGAATAGAGCAGATTTTGGAAAAAGACATATAATTTTGCCCAAACAATTCCCCCTCCCCTGCCAAGATGCCTTATTTCATTGTTTCATAATAACCTGGAAATCTATAGGAATAAAAACCAACATACTACTCTGGGGGCCTAATGGAAATTATGCAATACAAAAGTGGTGGTTATACCCCTTCCTAATCATATCACCAGCTGGCAGGAACCAGGTAGAGAGTTCACGTAATGATCTTGAGTGACAAACTGGACACATCTACACCAGATGCCTTAATGATCAGTGGACTGTTCTACTGTGCATTAGCACGTTGCAGCAAAAACTGTGCTAATGCATTAATGCACAGTAAACTTGGTCTACTACATGTTGTCACAAAAAAGTTTGCCTTTGCTACTGTGCATTAGCACAGCCACTGCGCCTTTATCTAGTACCTCATATTAGAGATACTAAACTTAATATGCAAAGGCACATTAATGAACATGCAGATGCACCCACTGAGTAACAGACTGGGGACAACTCATACAAAGTCTAGGTATCTAGTAATGTACACAGAATTGAACACATTTTGCTTCTTTTTTGAATCAGCAATACCGTATTTTTACGCATATACCCCGCACACGGGTATAACCTGCAATCCCCCCCATGTATAACCCGCGGAAAATTGTGTTTTCGAAAAATAATCCACGCATACCCCACACCCGTGTATTCCCCGCATCCCCTTGTATTCTCCGCACCCCCGAGCAAGGACTCCAAGCCAAGTGGTGCCTCCCCGCTGAGCCCCGGAGGTGCCACTGGGTGTCCACTACATGCCCCAGCAGGTGGCGGCAGCGCCCCTGGGAGAGAAGGAGACAGAGGGCGAGGCCCCGTATACATGGGGAGGCAGCTCAGCCCGGCCCGCTCCGGCCTCCGCGGCGGCAGCAGCACAGCCCGGCCTGCCCGGGCCCAGCAGGGAGGCGGAGCAGCTTGCCCTGGCCCCCGTGGCAGCGGCAGCGGTGGCACAGCCCGGCCTGCCCGGGCCCAGCGGGGAGGCGGCGCAGCCTGGCCTGCCGCGGCACAGTCCGGCCCCCGCAGTGGTGGCAGCACATCCCAGTCTGCCCAGGCCCAGCGGGGAGGCGGCGAAGCCGGCCCCGGCCCCAGCCCTGGCCCCAGCCCCCGTGGTGGTGGCGGCACAGCCCAGCCTGCCAGGGCCCTGCAGGGAGGCAGCGCAGCCCACCATGGCCCCAGCCCCCGCGGAAAAAAAGTCTGTGGATAGCCCGCACCCCTGTATAGCCCCCACGCATCCATTTTTTTTGTAAAATCGCGTATACCCTGCGGGATATGTGTGTGATAATATGGTAATTCTCTCTGGCAGAGAATGTTGTTCTCGGCAAAGACTGTGTTACCAACCCCTCCCGTTGGCTCTCCTATCTAAATGGAAAAGCCAGAATCTTGCCCAGAGATTTTAAAATCAGTTCTTGTAACATACATATACTATTACAAACTAAGAATACACCCAATTGTGCCCACATGGAAAGGAACAGCAATTGCTTCATATTGTACACATGACCAGAGTTTGGGAAAAGAAGTAAAGAAGTATGATTTCTAGCTAAAACTCTGCAGAGCATGCCTTCTAATTTAAGACAGTGTCATGAGCACTTATGATTTTAAAAAAGCTTTGATTTTTAAAATGAAATCTAGCAAGTGGTTATTCTATTATGGCTTCAGTTGCCAGTGTTTTCAATTTGGAAACTATCCCATGCTGTAAATTCACTTGAAAATAAACAGTAAATTTTGGATTAAACATTTCAGGCTAAGTTTCACCTTGGAACAAATTCTTCTAAGTTATTAATTCCAAAAAATGGGGTTTCATATTTGAATGGAAAAATACGTTAACTCTACCAGTTTAAGGCCAAACACTGACATGGGTGTCGTTGGTTACCTTTTGTTCTTCATAGGCTTCTTTCAAACAAACGTAGTTAGTAAGAGCTCGCATTGCTATTGGCAGCTTCCCAATTGCCTTCAAGTCAATTGGTTTCTTGTGAGCAGATATAATAAGTGTATTCATCCACCAGTAAGTCGCTTTTGAGAGAAGATTGACAAATGGCTGAAGAAATCTCACACCCAGATCTTGTAGGTCTTCAGGTGGCTTTACTTTCTGAGGGTTCATGGAAAATACATATCTCTGGGGAGAGGGATTAAAAAAACCCATAACGTATGTTTAATAATTATCTCATTTAACAGCAGTTTTAGGTGTTCAAGGGTCTGTCCACACTAACTGCTTGCCAAGCCCAGAGTACTATTGAGAAGTACACCTTGCCTACCCACTCCTGCTCCATGTGGGCTAACTCCTGGAAATTGGGCAAAGTAGTCCTAATTATGTAGTCCTTAGAGGGATCCAAATTATGCTCCATTAAGCATGGCTCAGGCAGTAAACATAAGAGCAGCATTGAGTGTGCACTCAAAGCCATGCTAAAGAGAGAACACTGCCTCCTTTCTTGGATTATCCAGACATTGGGTGGGAGCAAGTGGGAAAGGTATGCTTTTCAGTGGTGCTCCTAAGCTTGACACAGAAGCAATGTAGACAAGTCTTACATTTGGATTGAGATGCTTAGATATAGCTTTTCAAAAAGGTTGCCTTGAAGGTAGGTCCAGTGCAAAGGATTTATATACATGGATTATGGATGGTCAAATTTCATACTGGTGGCAAAGTCAAGAGTTGTTACAACTGAAGGGCCAAATCAGGACTGGAGTTCTATTGTGCTGGGCACTATACATATATACAGGACCAGATCCTATTCCACCCATAAAGAACCCAATTGTGCTCTCTTTTGTAACACATGCTTGTCTTAGCTTTAAGACAACGTTACAAAAAACAGTGAGCAAGAGGGGCAACTGTCCACTTTGTGTAATAACTTTCTTTTCAGGGACTCAAGCAGGATGGGAAAGAATCACACTTGTGTCCAAATTTACTCAGGCACCCTATAGGTGGACTAAGACCTAGCCCACTAATTCTTGCTTGGTCACAATCTATTATGCAATTAATCCTAAAACAGTGCCTCTAAAGCCTCTATACTATACTACACCAAAATGCAAAGGTCACATATACTATAGAAAGGCTATTTAAAGATATATTTGAGAAACTATGGGCGTGTGTGCATGACATTTTAAAGCAGGCTAAATGCTTCTGTACTGCTTTAATGGTGTCGGTGTTTGCATGCCTTGGTAGAGTATTGCATCTTAAATGACTTGGGGCACAGCAAACTAAAACTCCTTCGAGGAATTCTAGTTTGCTGCCCCTACAGTCACAGAGTGAAGAACTGGGCTCCATGCAGAGCTCAGGGGCTTTGCAGGAAGCCCTGCAGGCAGCCTGGCAGCAGCCCGGGAAAGCAGGCTCCGTCCAAGAAAAGTGGAGAGCCTGATCCTCCCCCTTTCCCCGCCCCGGAGCCTGCCTGCCTGCCTAAGCTGTGTCGGGGCCTGGTGCTTCCCTCCGTGGCTGCGGTGCCCCCCAGGACCACCCGAGCTGCGTGCCTACATGTGGGTGCTGCTGAGGGGTGGGGGGGGGGGCCACTGCCATGGAGGGAAGCACCCCCACAACCCCCGG